GGGGGGTAAAGACATATAACATGAATTTGATTAGTGAATACTTTTTTAATCCTCTTTTTTGTTTGTTTGTTTTGTTTTTTATGGTGACAGTCACATCGGTGTCACATGTTCAGAGTGGAAACGGGAGCGTGAAGCTTTGTCGGGATGTCAACGGGAACTGAAAAGGGGGGAGTGAGTAATTAGGCACCTTAGGGGTGTGAGTGACAAGGTTAACACGCCGGGGCGCTCTCTTCTCCCCCTGCTGCTTCAGCCATCGCCTGCTTCTCTTCTGCCCTCAGGAGAGCCCTAAAGGAGTGTTAGGTGGTGGATTAGTAGGCAGGGGAGTAGCGCTATCCGTGCTATGAATCCAGCGTTGCTACACTGGCTTTGGAGATATAAGCCTCCCACTCGGCCAGCCTCTCTGAGGAGGGAGGCCCCCTTCAGACCCCAGCCTGGAGAGAGAGAGAAGGAGGAAGAGAAAAGATAGAGGCAGGGAGAAAAGGCTGGCTCCAGCAGGGATTAGAAGATGGTGTTAATCTGGAGGCATTTGCCCTCTTTTCTTTGTGTGTGTGTCTGCGTGAGCACACATGTAGGCACATTCCAGTTGCCTGTGTATAAACAGTATTTGCTGATATCTTCAGACTTTTATTGTTACTTGCACAACTGTGAAATAAGAAGGGGGAAAAAATGTGTGTTAAGACAAAAAAACATGAGACCTTACAGATGTTAAACGTTCGTCGCCCCGTAGCCCATTTCTCACTAAGTCTTCTCACAGAAAGATACCCCTTGACCTTGAAGCCCAGCAAGAGCAGGCGAGCTGGAGATAGAGGAGCTTAGTCCTGGAGATCCACAGACAGCTAGTTGGTGTCAATCCTGTGTCTACAGGGAGAGCCACAGCCTCTGTCATAAAGATGAAGCCTCAATTATCCAGCTTAAAGATGCTGAAACACACTGGAAGGAGTCGAGCTTAAGCGGGGAAAATATTATCCCCCCCTTTTCACGGGTTGATAATGTGAGGTCAAGAAGCCATGCTGATGCCCCGGTGTGCGCCCTGTTCCGAAACTGACAGTTCATGACTTTAACCAGAATGTATGACTGAGGAATATGCAAACCCGATGATAATCCTAACTTTAGGTTCCTTGAAAAATATCCCTTACGGACATATTTTAGCGATTTTATATATATATAATCGCTAAAATATGTCCGTAAGGGATATTTTTATTTATTTTTGCTAACCTGCTGCTTGCGCTGTTTCCTCCTTATCTGCATTCTGCCTATCTAATAGTTGTGTGTTGTTTTTTTTTTCTTTCTCTTTTGTTTGTCCAGGAATGCCCAGGCATCACCCCGGACCAGACATGCCCAACTTCTACTCCTTGTCTCCTGGAGGAGTGGGGCAGCTCACATCACAGCTGGGATGGTGAGTCACAGGCAGATTAAAGCAAAAGCCTGCACGACTGATTCATGCAAAAAGGGACCAGAAACTATGCAGCGTTTTTACATCTTATGGACAGTGACACTGTACCAGCTTTGTGTACTGAATAGAGAAGTACTGGCCTGGAACAGCAGCTTCCTCTGGGAGGTCCGCCTCCGGTGGTTTGTGCTGCGCTGCTGTGGCCACAGCCACACCACTCGACTGTGTGCCCAGCACATGTCAAACACATCGCCGCATTCGTGCCCCTGCATAGCCATATGGCTGCTTAACCATTATCAAAGCTTTCTGGAAGCGCTTCTCTCTCTTTCTTTCTTTCTGAGACTTACTTCAAGTGCTTTTCTTTAGCCCTGTTCCACTGCATCCTTGTTACTTCCTGTGCTTTTTTTTTTTTCTATCCCCCAAACATATCTCTCTCACTTTCCCCACTATCTCTTACTCTGCTGGCTTTAGGGCAAACACTGAGTGAAGACAGATGTAACGTCCACAAGCAGGACACTTGATCACACATGACCAGAAGTCTCCACCACCTTTCCTCCTCATGCCCTTGTAAATCTGACTAACCCAGTTTTGATTTAAGGAGTTAGGCTAAGGACAGGCGGCTGTTTTATTTAAAAACAAATTCCTGTTTTTCTACACCCACTGATTTTTGGTTTCCTAGGCAGAGTCTATACCTAGCAACAAGTCTGTTAGACTGAGGGAGTGGTGCATTTGCACTTTAGAACCATGTTGTTTGACACTTCACTTTAATTTTTTTATTCATTCATTAAAGAGAAGCTATAACCATGTTGTTAAAATCTAACAATATTATAAACTATTGATAGAAAAGTTAAAAAGTGAGATCTAATCACAAATTCTGAAATATGACAAGCGTAAAAACACGGTGAAAGAGACTCCGACTGCTTGTTCTTGAGGCGCAACCAATCATTGGCTATAGTCATGCAATTGTCACACACACCATATTCAGTCATGCATATGCAGTCATGCGTATGGTGTGTGTGACAAAATCTAAAAACACATAAAAAACAGCCCACAGTCTTTTTTTTTCTCACTTTAATGCCATTTGGAAGATATTTTCCACTCCTCTGATCCTCTTCTTAGTCTTTAATAATCAAAATGTCCTGTTATTGCAGGTTCCCGCACCACATGGTGCCAGGTCCCCCAGGTCCTCACGCCACAGGAATCCCTCACCCGGCCATTGTCAATCCACAGGTCAAACAGGAGCCACCTCATGACGGTGACATCATGCACATGTGAGTCCTGCAAACACAAAAAATATTGCATTAAAGCTCGTACTGTCACTCCTCTATCAGCATTTTTTGACACAACAAACTTCCAGGTATTTGTGTTCTCCTCCACTCACTACAAGAGGGCGATGCTCAGCAAACCCTCTCCCAGCGCCTTGTTCTCTTTCTCTTGATGTGAGCAGATAAATGGCGAGGGCCCACGCTCTGCTGATAACAGGCCTATGCTTCATTTGGCCTCTGGGATCACAACACTCTTAGCTGACAACAGATACAGGTCCTAGATTAGTGCTAAGAATTCACATCCCCAGCGTGTGCAGTGGGAAGTGCTGTGAGAGCCCTGAAGTGGTTATCACTGATATTTCCATTATTCATGGACATCTTCCTACCAAGACTGTACTGGTATCAAAAAGGTTGTTAGAAAGTAAGTCGAGCAGTGTTTTCTTTTAGCACGAGAGCATTTGGTTTTAAGTATTCACCAGTGTGCTACGGACAAGAAAGTTTGGTTGCCATTACTGGTGAAGTAATCTCTCTGCATGAAGGGCTGCAACTGTACAACTGCACATGATTAAAGAGACCGGGGCCCATGGCGTGGCAGCCCCTCTCACGCTGCCTCGCCATTGGTTGAGTGCAGCCAGACCCTCGCTGCTTTTGTCGCCACGGCGTCCTTCTCCCGTTGCTTTGGACTTGTATTTATTTTGCTTATTTTCTAACTTTTTTAGTGTTTTCTCTTTCTCACCTCCTCCACTTTGTTGTTGTATTCCGTTTCTCTACAGGAAGCCGCAGCACGAACAGAGAAAGGAGCAGGAGCCCAAAAGACCGCACATCAAAAAGCCGCTAAACGCCTTCATGCTCTACATGAAAGAGATGCGTGCGAACGTGGTTGCCGAGTGCACGCTGAAGGAGAGCGCCGCCATCAATCAGATCCTGGGACGAAGGGTGGGTCGCGCAGTATACCTATACGCCAATCTCTAGCTTTCTTTCTTTCTTTTTTTCCCCCCCCGAGTTTATCTTTGCTGATTGAGTCGAATCGCGGTGAGATCATAGTTTATGTCATGTTCTCTGAGGAGGCTTCTCGATTAGCTGAAAAAAATGCAACGATTTCTCCCCTTTATTAGCAGTCTTTATAAACTGGTTGTGATTATTGCCCTGATGATGCTCAAGCCAATTACTTCCCCTTTCCCCCTAAAGCCCCACACCCACCTCTCTCTGTCTTTCAACAGCACAGACACAGGCTGCCTGTCTAACTGACATTTAATCAGATTGGCTTTAATAAAATATGCCTGTATAATGGCACGGTTGGAAATGACAAAATTTGTTCCTTTTGAGGATTGGGAAAAGAATGGAACCACAGAGCCATGTTAAAAGCCTTAACGAATAGGCCTGGCGGTTGAGGCAGCCAGCCACAGCAAAGCCTAGTTTGTGGTCTGCGTAGGGTAATTGCTTGCTGACATAGTTTGAATAAAAAGCACTGCTAAATTGGAAGCAGTGTTTTCATAAGAAATCAAAGTCCCCCCCCCCCTTCCCTTTCTTGTCTCCACCCCCTTCTCCCCTACTTTTTTCTCTCTTTCTCTCACTCTTGCGCATGTTAATCTCTTCATCATGTCCCCCCCCCCCCTTCTTCTTTGTGTCTTTCATCCCCCCTGCTTTTTTTTTCTTTTATACACATGTGGAAGTTGAAAAGTTTTTTCCCCCTTCTATACCAAAACACCAGCGCACGCCTCTACGCAGAAAACATGCAAGTGCATGCCAGTAATTGACTGTATGCTATTTTTTTTCCTCCCCCTTAATCTCCTTTGTACTGAAACAGTGGCATGCTTTATCTCGAGAAGAGCAAGCTAAGTATTACGAGTTAGCCCGCAAGGAACGGCAGCTCCACATGCAGCTCTACCCAGGCTGGTCCGCTCGAGACAACTATGTGAGTATCAACAGAACAGACTGACAGAGGTGCGCGTGCGTGCGTGTGTGAATGTGTTTGTGTTGATTCATGTTTGTTTATGTCAGCGTTGCATGACTTGTTCTTAAAATGCCACACAGGAATGACACACACACACACCAACACACTAATTTGCACCAGTCCTCCTCCATGCTAATGGGGTCCATTTGTAGACCCTTTGTTTCAGCCTAATGTGTAATTCATAACACTGTGATTCACTGTTATAGTGCCATCCACACTAAAATGGATTGTAGTATCACGGACACTATTATTGCCATTGTGAGTGAAAATTGCCTGGTAATGGTTACGGCGCTCTTTGATGTTCCATATCGGCTTCGGATGTAGAAAGCAACTGTTAGACTGAGTCGAGGAGGCTGGATTATACATGCGGCGTTCAGCAGTAGCAACCTCTGCTTCCCCAGCTGCCCGTTTTTTTTGTTTGTTTTGTTTTTTGTTTTTTGTTTGTGAATCTGGGCGGTTCAGCTGGATTTTTAGGATGAAGCCTGTGTTTATTGTTACAGCATTTATGTGTACTTACGTGCTGCTGGATGAGAGTCCAAATGTGTTATTGAGTGACGTGTGACGTGTATGAATCTTTGTGAGTGTGTGTGTTTGGGAGAGAGAGAGAGAGAGAGAGAGAGAGAGAGCGAGCACCAGCCTTTATTTAAAAGTGTGGCTCCAGCACTCACATTCACTCCACCACCAAAGTGCTTTGTGGTGTTTATCTGCCTCCCCTCGGACACCGACAGCATCCCTCCTCCTTCTGCCTCCACGGCTCCACTGCCAAAATGCCTCGCTGAGGTGGGGTGTGTGTGTGTGGGGCGGGGGATTGTTCATAGCTCTGCTCCCAGTGAAGCACAGCAGAGTTAAAGATGCGCATCATCGCTGCATTGGTGACATTTGGGCCGGATCCTGTTGAATTTCCTGTTTTCTCAGTAGTTTTGATGTTTAGAAGGGGGTTAGAGGAATGGCTTTCTATGTGGCACACGACGAAGGTAACGATAATGGGTAGTGCAAAGTAGATGGTGTATCCTTGAGGAATTAGTTATTCTGTGACCGCTGTGATCACAGTATTACAGACAGAGCATCGTGCCTGGAAACACCCAAAATAGGTAACACACTGGCGTGGAAAAATCGCGTATCATTCATAGTTTTGCCGTGCACCCCCTCCTATCTCTCCCCACCCTTTCTCTCACCCACACTCACTCAGCTTCTCTTCTTCCCTGTCTGCCGCGGCAGTAGAAGGCAGATTAGCTCATGAATAAGTGGATTAGCAGACTTTGCAGCAGGAAACCAAAGTGCTGCTCATATTTGAATAGAACGACTCTACACTGCTATCTATACCTATAGTCTCCCCCCTGGGGATTTAGCATAAGCTAAAAAATCCTTACGCACTCCCACCACCTCACTGGAAAAACGAGTGCCACTCTTCACAGCCTAATTGCAGTGAGCGTTTTTAATTGCACTTCATGTTAATGTTTGTCATTTAAAAAATATGAAGGGGGGGGGGGACTTCAAAGCTAGACACGGAGCTGTCAAAACAGCAGAACTTTCACTCGGCCGGGAATGGCCACACTTCAACAGGCCTGAAAACTATGGAAAAGCGGTCGAGAGGAGGTAGAGCACACTCAGGCTCTCCATCGGCCCGTCCCTCAGTGTCGCAGTTTGTGGTGGAGTCCAGAGTCTGGGTTGATGCTGGTTGGATGCCCAGCAGGGGATGAGTGAACATGGCAGTCAGCAGCAGGATATCAAGAGTGGTCTAGTGAGCGTGAGTGCTGGAGCCACACTTTATGCGTTCCTCTGTATATTTTTTAGGGAAAGAAGAAGAAGCGGAAGAGGGAGAAGATGCAGGAATCGGCCACAGGTAAGAGACGCTTCCAACTCCTGCCTCCTCGCTCATTTGGGAAACGCCGTTGTTTGTTGGTTTCATTGTGCAGTTGGGAATCACTTCCACCATCTTTCTGTGGGGTCATGTTTTACAGCAAATTGCCGCATTTGCAGTAATGTTCGCCCTGTGAAACAAACCACTAACCTCTCATTGACTGACAGCTAGTAGAATCAGACTAACCAAACTAACCCACTCACTATGCTCAGTCTAGCCTCAGACTTGACTTGTGTACACCCCTTCATTTATATGTCTCTATCCCTGTCTTCTCATATTACACCTACTTTGGGATTAGTCTGTCCATTCTATACGACTGCTTACGGATTTCTGGGCTTTGCATTATTTGTTTGCCTGCTGCTCTACAGTGTGTCTTTCTGCTGACCTTGTTTAGCTGCGCTTCTGAGCCTCTTCCTTAGCACTGCAACTGTAATCCACTGAGCATTACTTCTTAAGTAAAATGTCAGTACTTCCTTTTGGTCTGTACAACTGTATAGGCCAGATGGACGGTTATGATCTTTTGCCGTCCAGATACCCTCTTTTTTTAAAAAAGATGCAATTTTCTGCAGGTACAGGCCAGAGAATGAAAACGGCGTACATCTGAGAATATGGTAAGACAACCCCCCCACCTCTATGCCCTCCCTGTCTGGTCCAGTTTGATATATGTCAAGCTTTTTCTTTATCCTTCATTTTGTTCTTTAAAAAAACTGCTAAACACTGACTTGCACACTGAGTATGTGCTCACAGACTAATCCTAAAAAGGTCCACCCTAACCTTGCCATAGTCATTGTGTCAGCTGTGTTAAGGCCTGAAGAGGGATTGTGGTGTGTGTGTGTGTGTGTGTGTGTGTGGTTTGCTCAATGGCCTCAACACAATATACATTGAATCTTCTGCATGCAAGCGTATGTATGTACTGGTCAGTTCAGTGTCTTTGTGTTGGAGCTGGTTGGATGAGAACTCGTATGCTATTCGGGGGTAAAAGTGTCCAAATAAAGTAAAAATATTGCTTAATAAATCATGCAGCTCATGAACTCAGTGTTTTCTAAACATGGCATAAATAATACATCTGAAACTTTTTTTTTTTTTTTTTTTTTTTTGCTCTGGTGGAGGCTAAGATATCAGCTCAGCCCCATATGGGCTACATGTGTTGTCTTTCTCTGCGTCTTTGTAAAGCAGGGCAGGATCCAGCAGCTTGTCTGGCAGGAACTTAATGAGATGCTATACCTTTAATAAGATTTCATGGTATCTGGGCTTTCAGGGTGTCTATAATGCTCTCATAACAAAGGCACAATGTAGTCTCTCGCTCCTTTGCTTTTTCAACACGTTACCAATACGTAGAGAGATATCGATCCACACCAAATGTCAAGAAAGGCCTCACTGAATTGTCACCTGTCCTTTTTTCTTCTTTTTTTCTTTTTCTTAAGAGGAGGATTACTAGTCCCAGTATGTGGTAAAGGCAACTCTATTCCCCCCTCTCGATCTTCCTGACTCTCCTTGAGTCGCTCCTCTCCTTCCCTGTCTCTCCCTCCCTGAGAGTCTGGTAGCATCCTGTTATTCCGCTTCCTTTTGGCAGCAAAAAAAGCCGGGCAGATGTGACAAATCTGGTCTTACGTCAAAATCACCCCTAACCACACAAAGGTTTTCCACTTGATCGATTCCTGACCCAGTGGCTCTGCGAACCCAAAATTGGGCTTTTCTTTTCTTTCTCTGTCTCTCTCCTTTTTTAGTGACCACAGCCAGTTTTCAAAGAACAGAGAGCGCAAGCGCTAAAAAGCACTTTATCTCTGATCCAATAATTAGCAGTGCCTAGCCGCAGCGGGATGGACACCCTTGCTGATTCTCAGTGACAGCCTTAAACTAATATGCATAATACCAAGGATACTGCCACAACTCCCCAAGCCCTCAATTTATGCAGATCCCAAAGAGCAGGATTGAGGTTAGCTTGCTGTAGACGCCAAAAAGCATCTTTAAATGAACTCGTTTGTCTATTCCTTTTCATCTGTCCACGCCTCTAACCCATCTGTCTCTCCCCCGTCATGCAGAATCTGCAAAGAAATCTGTTAACGAGTTAATTTTGGGGACTCTGTTGTGAACACCTCTATTGTACGGAGGTTCAACATTTGGACGGTTGTGATGAAAAATATTGTGGTGACGTGCTGCACTGACTTTGTGCATTTTCATATTAAATGTTCTTTTTTAAAGGCCTGGCAAGCCAGGAGTTGAGCCTCAGAGCAGCATTTTATGGCGTGATGTCTGTTCCCTTTGTTATCTTTAGCATGTCAAACAGTGGGTCCACCACACAGCTGGCTCTCACCACAGTACAGCAGCTCTTAGAGAAGTCATTACTCTGACATTGTGAAATTAGAGTTTCCGCCTGTCTCTCTCGCCGCTCCTTCCCTCACACCCCTTTCTTTACACTAAGTGGAAATTACTCTTTTTGCACTTTTTTTTTAAACTCCCCTTTGCTATTTCTGCACCTCTTTATTTTGGTTCTGTCCATCTTGCTTCCTCTCGTGCTGTTAGCCTTTTGTCTGACTAAGCCCTCTGATTCACAGCCTTTGAGATAGTTATCTGGCTGAGACCCCTACATGCCCCCAAGGCTTTCTCCCGTTTCAGCCACTGCACATTTTTTTCACATGGGGGAGACACTCCTAACAAAGGTGGCTTTTTAATCTGGCTAACAAGGGCCCCCAGAGTCGCTGTAAAGCTGCATACAAGTTCACAGTTTTTGTTTGTTTGGGAGTTGCCACAAACTAGGCACGAGGTGGTATATTTTTATTTTGTAAATCAGGTGGTCCTGGATATGCATTATGAACATCTGCAGAGTGTATCAAAGGTCATTTGGAACCACACGCCCTGCTCCAGAAGCATAAAAGAAAGTGTTGTTCAAGCAGGAGCTTTGGTGGCCACTCTCGCTCATCTCCTCTTGTCTGTCTCGGTCGTGCCCCAGCTCTGCTCCCTCTGATGTCTGCAGCCAGAAGTCAGCTGTCAAAAGACTTTGATGAGCGAGGAGGGAGCGAGCGCGTTAGGGGAGAGCGAGGGCTAGAAAAGGCCCAGAAGAAAATCCCCCAGCAGACCCCGTTCTCCAGAGTTCAGAGTTTACCCAATCTCAGTCAACCGCCACTCATCCTTCAGTTTCCATTCCTCATTTTCTGCCCCCCCTCCCCTCTGTCTTTATTTGTCGCCTCTCATCTTCTCCCTCTCTCAGACCCTCATCACTCTCTACAAAATGTACAAAATCTGAGCAGCCAGCCACACACTCAGGCTGCAATTAGGCAAGATTCAGCGTCTGCCTCCATTTCCAGAGTCATTTCAATTTGGCAGCGAGCCTCTAGGCCACTGCGGCACAGCCCAGTGCCTCCACACCCAGCCTTATTAGTGACCTGGGATAATTGGGGAAGGAATCCGGATTGCGAAACTGACTGTGGGTCTCGCTCTGAGCAGCACGCGGGAGATCAGAGGATGTTTTTAAAACTGTACCAAAAAAAAAAAAAAACTGGTGGGGGAACAGTTATGGGTAGGAGGTGGAGGAGAGATTTTAAATCAGAGTGACGCCCCAGCTAATGTTACTTTAGGTAGGAAATGGAATCGGAAATGTCTCCCCCCCTCTACCCCCCACCTCCACAAAGCATACACTGTGAAGTAAAACTACTCTCTCAGCACTTAGCATGTGAAGCCTCAGTTGAGTGTGTGGTTTTCGCTCAGAAGTAAAAAAATCTTTCACACTGACATAGTTGTCTTATCCTGGCTTGGCAGCCTTATTTCACACCTTTTTCTTTTCTCTTGGGGGGTTCAGGTGGGGTGGGATAGGGGACGGAGTAGAAGGCTCCACATGGGAATAAATGAAGCTGTAGTTCTCCTGTTGTTTAGACTGGGGCCTGGAATTTGTTTTGATTGAGTCACGGGCCTATTGTGTCGTGGTTTGGCCAGCTGCGGTAACAGCATGAGGGTCCAGTCTCATGGCTTTTTTGTGATGACTTCTCTACTTCCTCTCTTCCTCTCCTCCATCATCCCCCCTCCGGGGGCTCCTCGAGGCATTGCAGCCTCTCGGAAGAGGCAAAAAATATGTGACCTCCATAAAACTCTCCCCTTGTGAGATGCTTATCTGTGAGTTATCAGAATGAAAGAGCCCCAGGTAAGACGGCGCAGGCAGGCTAAGGACGGAGCGTCAAAAGGAAGTCGTGTTTATTATTAAAGGAGGCTAAACGACTATCCCAGCTCTTCTTCCACTCGTTTTCGCTGCCTCGTTTCGCACTACTCCACCTCTTCCTGCTCCACTCCTCTGTCCTGATGCTGAATATAAGTGGCGGTGGAGGCCCTTTGAAGCGAGACCACAGCAGAGGGAACAGTCATTGTGCAGGCCCTTTGAATGTGCCGCACCACCACCACCCTCCTCCCTGACATCCCCTGGTCTGCAGTGGCTCAGACTGAGCTGTGCGGGGGCACATGGCCAGACTTCACCCCCAGCAATGCCTCCTCAGATGTGGGCAACACCTCACCACTCCTCCCCACACCCTCCTGTGCTCACCCCTAGTCTCACCCACACATGCCTGAGGTTTGGGCTTTTGGGTGACTCCCCCTCTTCCTATTCCCCCATTTGACCACAGCCAGACCCCACCCTTCCTCACGCTCCAATATTTTATGCAGGCATGTTTTT